CATGTCTTTCCCCACTCTCTCTCCCAACATTTTTCGACTCTGTTCACTGTCCTTTTCCAATAAAGGGAATAAGAAAACTGTTGTCTTCGAGGGCGTTTTTTTTGTTTTTGCTAATTGCTGAAAATGCTGCATTGGTTTTGTATTGAAAATGGGCATTGCTGGAGAGAAACCAGCATCAATAGACACAGGCCCTTGATCATTACACTGTGTTTATATCCCTATGTAAAAATTGGGGACGAAATCAGAAGTTCTTGTTCAATAGTTTGGGTTAAACTATTGTATCAACATTCACACTTGGTTTTTAAAGGGACTCTAACAGCAGTCTTCATGGTGAAAGTTCTGTCTTTGATTGGCCTTCTTAGCCGATTGCAAAAACAGGGCAGTACTTAGGGAACCGCTAGTGGTGAATAAAATAATGTTGTAAAATATTTATTTACAATTATGTTTGGTTCTGTTTTCTCAACAGCTTTTCCCCCTTCCTCTGGTTCCCAGTTTGTGCTAACAGTAAGCTAACATGAACGTATTTGGTTATTACTGTTTGTGGACCAAAATGATCCTCAGAGACTTTAAAGGCTCCCCAATCCAAAATAACTTTTTTTTTATTAAAGACAAAACAAAAATAAAAAAAAACTCTCAACACAGTTACCATATTACATTTTGGCCACTGACATTAACCCTTGTATTTGCATTTAAATGAATGTATTGAGGGGATTGTGTAATAGATTCTTATTTGTTTTCGTATTTAGAGTTTTGACCTAATTAGTTTCTATGTATGGAAAAAAAGTCACCCAGAGAGAGAGCAGGAGAAGTAAACAGATACAACTGGAGGACGACTGCATGTGTGTAATAGTAAAGCAGCAGCCACTTTGAGTCATCACACAGCCAGCCGGTTGGTTCCAGTTAGCGTCCTCACGGTGACAGAGATGTTATCCAGATGAGGGGTCTCTGTTGGTGACTCACCTGAGAGTCAAGGCCATCGATCTGCCTGAGGGCCACAGAGACAAAACAACACGGGGAAGGAGAGAGAATGACAGAGAGACCCCAGCAGCAAAAGATGAAAAGGTTCGAGGGGGGGGGATACCTCACCCTGCAGATTCAGTTACATCAAGGCAAAAGTGAACACAATAGGCTCAATATACCTGAGATCAAATAAAAAAAAACCCTTTCAATAAAAGGTCCAAAATGCTGCAGGTCCACACAGGACCTCGGGGAGAGTCTGTGAGCGAGCACAATGGATCAGTCCGGGGTACAGTGACAGCTCAGGTTTCCCCAAAAATCCCCATTTCAGACAAATACATTTGTCATGGAAAAGGAGATTCACACAGCCTATACAAATTAAAAAGCAGTGACTGACAGTAAAAAAAACAACAAAAAAAACATGCAATGACAGATGTGGCGAAGTCTTTATTCAGTGACACGCACACAGATATAATGACAGTAGCAGCGAGTCAAGAGTCAAATACCAAATAATGTGTCATAAAGCTTAAAGAGGTCATACATTGTAATTTAAATCACCATCTGACGCACTCACATCTTTGTTGTTTTCTTAGATATCTAAATATGGACACCACGGTTGAAAAAAGGAAACCAAGCTCTGTGATGGAAAACTACAAGGACACGTCAGAAAAATGGGAGAAGGCCGCCACCTACTGACCAACTGAAGGACTCGCCATAACTGATCAAAAGACAGCAGTTTTCCAGCTGGGGTAATATTTCAAAGGCGTTTTACATGACATTTTCATCTTGCTATCCAGCACGCATCATTAATTATGTTTTAACCTGATTCAAGTTTGACCTTTATTTCAGCATTCAGCCGGTGGTTCATTAAATCTTCACCGCGTCTGATATGTTAATCACTTGTTTGTTTTTCTTGTGCTTCTTCTATAAACAAAGCTGAAATCTCTTAGGGGTGAAAAGAAGTTGTTCTTCACAGCTTGTATTTGTGCTTATTAGCTGATTAAATGAATGCAAAGTAAATACATGTTTTCTTCTCAGATTTGTGCCTGGAGGAGACGGATCAGATCAATGCAAAGACGCAGCAAAGCTGTGAAGGAGTCAAGGTACTCTTTCATCCCACTGCCATGACCTGCTCCTTCATCTCCTCCACCCACGTAGCTTCACCTCCACATGGTTCATGTGACCCCCATGACCCTCTGCGTCAGTTGACAGGACCAGTGAAGAAGAACAACTTCCCCAGTAGAAACAAAGAAATTCATTTCCCCCTCCTTTGGTTAAAAAAAATGCATTACAGGAATTACAAGGATATGTTTATCAAATGTTTTTTCTTTTTTTACAGAAGATTCTTCCTGATTGAGGCTTTCTTGAAGTTGGATACTAACACAAACTAAAGATGGCTCAAGCTCGTGTAAGGAGTTTTTAGCTGGTTATGAAACAGAATTAACAGGACGAGTCTTTTTATGGCCTACAAAAGCAAACATGACCCTCTTCATGGGGATGATGATTTCCTTATTCATGTTGATTTTAAAGTCTGAAATCGCTGCCGGGGGAGTTGTTTAGAAAAGTACTATACTATAAGTATTCTCAGGTAAATGTACATAAAGTACAATAGATAGATCAACATTTCATTGTTATTTGGATATTAAGATTTGCAATAAACACAGACAGAAGTCTTTACAGTTTCATCGGGTTGAATAAGAAATGAATTTAAAGTTAAAAAGCAATGCCTCCTCTATCGGAATGAATACATGCAGTCAGATGAAGCTCAAGATAGCTGTCAGCTACCCTCAGATTAGTTGGTGCAAATGTTGTAGTGGAAAGATTTAATTTGGATTCAGGAGGGTCATGTGGTGTTGTGTTGAACATGAAGTTCAGCAGATAAAAACTGAGTTTTAGCTAACATGCACTCTGTATTGAAATGTATTGAACAATGTTGCTGCACTCGGGCTGATCTCCTGTCTCTCTTCAGCTATCCGATCCAAAAAGGCAAATTCTTCCAAAAATATGAGAATTGCTCGTTCTCTGAAGAAGTACAAACTTAATGTTATGAGTCAAAAACCATTTTACTACCCGCAGCATGGAGAGAAAACATTACAGTAGTTCTCTACAGAAACCCACAGAATCAACACGTCAAACAACAATAGATCAATATACCAAGAGGAATATAAATTCTTTAAATGCAATCACAATGTCTCGTAAAACAGTAGGAAGCCACCAGGTGATAGGATATCAAAGGGACAGTTAGGAAGTCATGGATTGAAAGACTGGATGTTTCACTCCTCTTGTGAAACTCCTCTTACAAAGATTAGTTTTAATAAAATCCCCTTACACATCTAAATGTATATTAAACACTAGTTATAGTAATCTTAAATGAGAGGAACAAGTGTTTTCACACGGTTGTTTTGTGCTTAAATCTGTACTCTAGTGGTTTCCCAATATTTCCCATTCAAACCCAAAATCTCACATTAATCATATCACAGCACAGGTAAGCGTCCCACCAACCGTTTATTTATTTTATGTTTATGTTTGGTGCATTTTAATCACATTTATTTACTCCTCTTTCTTTCATCATTTATTTCAAACAAAGATAACTTAGGAAAATAAGTTAAGCAGACATCGTCTCAGCTTTGATGGAGTTTATCTCAAACAAATTTGGATGAAACTGAAAAAAAAATCATAAATACAAAAATCTAATACATAGAATAATCATGGCTATATTATACTGACTGAGATTACATAAAAAAAATACAGAATCTGGAATCAAAGAGCAAAAAGTAACTCCTATCTTATTCTTACATTATTGTTGAGCAGCTGAATAGTTCATTGTCCTAAATGTTTGTGTTGCTGCCTCTCTGAGAACAATAGCTGAGTTAACAGAGAGATGTCAGTGGGCATGAATTCCCTCACCACCCAGCAGCCTATTAAAACCACTCTGTTAACCTTTCATATGCAGAGATAATTCTACAGACACAGAAGATGTCAAATGTCAGACAATTCCTCACCCTCATACCTTCTGAACTGGGACACTTCTTAAAATACCAAACTCCTCAGAGAAATGCACCAGAACATTTTGTATCTACGTAACTCTCAGGTCCCCTCACTGCTTTTCAAACGTCTCACTTTTCTTAAAATCTTTTTTTTTTTTTTTTTTGAGTATAATGTGTCAGACAAGTGTTAAGCTTCACGTTTTAAAACAAAAATAGCTTTCATTTGTTCTCAGGTTATCATCCTACAGGGACTGACAGCAGTTCAGTTAGCACATGATGTCTTGAATGGGTGCTCTATGAAAAATGAAAAAAAAGGCTGCTGTGTATTCAAGTCTACTGCAGCTTTACTGTTTGGTTTTATTGAAGAATACGCTTTCCATCCCTAATCTCAAATGCACCCCGTGACATTATTTATTATTTTATCAGGCGGTTTTTGGTGACGTAGCAGGAGCCAATCAGCACCACGGAGAGCTCCTGCCTCCATCCGTCCATGTGGGCAACGCCCCAGCAGTGTCTGGCACTTACTCATTTTGACTGTGGTGTTAACGTTTGCGATTTATTGAAACAATAAAGGTGTAATAAACATGAAATAAGTGGTTAGTAATGGTTTACTATGAAGCCTGGATATCAGGCATGCAGCGTTTTCATTTCCATAGCACAAATAATGCTCTGATAAGATAACAGCTGCACACAACGGTTCTATAGGTTATCTGTCGCTTAGCAACCACATTGTTTGGCTGCGGATCAACGGACGACTGTTGATAATAAAAAATATTATTATTATTATTTTTTAAATAATCCAAACCGAATGAAAAACAAAAAAAGGTGTTGTTATTCGTGTGACTTTTACTGAATTTACAGCATTACTATCGATCAAATTGGTTCATTTTTGCGTTGATGACACTACATTCCACTGCGCACATTTTCTGCGCACACGCCGCTGTCCTCTCTTTTGTTCCCCATTCATGAAGCGACGTCAGTATACCGGAGATGTGTCAACGTAAACTGTAGACCCCCCCCCTTCCCTCCCTCCCTCCCTTCACAAAGCAGGCGACTGGCCCTTTAAGGGGTTATGTAGCCGGGCTAGCCGATGTAGGACGAGCCGACCGTGCGTCTGCCTGCCTGCCTGCGTGCGCTCCGGCTGCCATCCTCATCATGGCCTCCACAGAGCCACCAGCGACGCCACCGAGGATGAAGCGACCTGTCAGCGGCCCTTCCCTTCCCGCAGCGGAGACGGACGTCAAGCCGAAACAGAGGCACCGGTAGAGGCGAGCCGCGCCGGGGAGAGCCGCCACACATCCCCATGCCACCCCGGTCTCCTCCATGCCTTCGTCTAAAGCCAAGTACAGCTATTCGATAAAGAGGGGTGCGAACCCGGGCGGCGGCGGCAGCGGCGGCAGCGGCAGCGGCAGCGGCAGCGGCGGCAGAAACATGACAACGAACAGGGATTATTCTGTAAATCTGTCGGTGCAGCAAGTGCTGAGCCTTTGGGTGCAAGGCACGACGCTGCAGCACTTCACAGGTATGCGTAATGAATGCTGTTTTCATGTTCACACACACACACACACACACACACACACACACACACACACACACACACACACAATCAGTGTGTAGACTCTATAATACTGGACAGTTTGATTTTGCCTGCACCGGTCGCGCGTCCATTTTAAAGCAGACAACATGTGTGATATTACATCTCACATGCTTAGTGAGCAGGAAAGGGCAGAGCTGGTCCCATGAAAAGGGGGTACCACCTCAGAGCCCCCCTCGCCCCCCCCTCACCACCACCACCACCACCTCGCCCCCAGCTGGTGAATTCCAGCTCTTAAAAAAAAAAATGCCACCCCATCTGTCCACGCCCGAGGAGTCAGTGGATGACATGAAAATAATCACAACATGCGGCTGATTAATCTTTCTGCTGCGTGAATGCGCATCGACTGTGGAGCAAATTAAGTGGCTCTTTCTTTTTGCTCCTCCTTTTTTTTTTTTTTTTTTTTGCCTCGCAGTTCAGTTATGAAGGGGCAATTAAGAGACAGCACCATCAACTCTGTGCAGCAGGATATCTGTCTGGGATGGTCTAGACTCCAGCATTAGTGAGGATGAGTAAAATCAATGCTTGTCTCATAGTAGTTTGGAAATGGGAGGGGACAGCTTTGTGGTCAGAACATAGTGATGCACACTGATCGTTGAATTGTCAGCTCACCAAAAGAAGCTTATTTTCTTGTTGCCTTGTATTTTATTTTATGTGGACATGACTGACAGTGTTGCCACAATGGATGTTTCTTCATCTGGTCAACGTGATTACACACATTTTCTAATTTTCAATTTGGGTTGGAACACCATCAGTCATGTTCCCATGAAATAAAACAATGTGGGCATTTTATCTTCTCCTCCCCAATGGGGGCCAAACTTCCTCAGCACGCACTTGACGCAACAAAATTGCTCCGAATGTGTGATAAAGCGGATATTAAGGGTTAAACTGGGATGTCGTATAAACACAAGATTATAGGCCGTTCTTGAGATTCCTTCCCTGCAGAGTGAGAGTGAAGCACAGTCGGATGTGTGTGTGTGTGTGTGGGGGGGGGGGGGGTCACAGCTGAGTTGGCACAGACCCATCTTATGAAACGCCGCTGACATTCTGTGTTGAGAAAGGCGTCAAGCAGGAACATGAAGAGAAGGTGGTTAATGATGCTGACTCAGCAGGAAGCCGCAGCGCTTGTAGAAGTTTTTGCGGAAGCAGAGCTGCAGCGGCGAGTCGAAAGCTGCGAGAAGCTGATGCACGGGCTTAAGTGACTGATGTGCGCCAAACTGCTACCTGATCCCCCCTCGACCCCATAGTTCATCAACCAGGTGAGAAACAACCTCCTGAGACATAAATAAGGTCAGAGGAAGTGTGTGAACCGTGAACAACAAGAACAGTGAACTCCAGGAGCAGATGTTAACTTTTAGGAGACGTCAGCCCTCAGGAGACTTCCTGCCCTCTCTCTTGGGCTCTTGGGAGTTGCCTTAACAAATGGATTTCCTGTTTATTATTTGCGTCCTCGCCGCAGTTTCACTTCAGCAAACCATAAAAGGAGCATTTGGTGATTGATTGAAGATATGAATGCAAGAAACCACGTCAGTACTCGTATGAAAACAAGTATGCAAACTCTGTCTCTACAAGCTTTTCTTTAAAGGGTTGGTTCACTCAAAATGATGATGAACCTTTCCAGAGACAAGTTAGGTCTTACTCCCCTTGAACAAATTGTACAGGAACAACTTGTACAATATACAATGACATTGTATTTCAGTGGATCAACACTTAATGGACAGTTCAAAACATATCAAGTCCTCATACCTTGGCACAATAAACATGTGGCTACTTTAGACTGTATAAAACATGGGCATAGTCTCAGTGATGTCACCCATTGGTTTCTGAAGCGGACTTTGAAAGCCCATACAGTAAATTGCTGCCTCAAATTAACTTTCAGTCGACCAAGAAACAGGTAAAGAGCTGGAGCTGAGGTGGGCCTTAAGCATCCAGACAAATGGCTACGATCCATCAGTCCGGTCAGCCACGCTCCTATATGTTACTTCCAGGGTTTTGACAGTTAGCCTCTAGTGGACACTCGAGGAACTGGGTCAAGAAGAGGTTGCTTCTTGGTAAAGTCGTGCAATAGTTGCAATGTAGTAAAGTTTAAAAAAACGATAACATGTTTGTTTGGGTTACCTGTTTGAATATCATTTGCTAGCTTGCCAAAAAGCGAAGTGTTTCGAAGCTGGGGAGACCAAAGTTGGTGGAGACCAAAAACAAAGCTAGAAGAGAGCAAACAATCTTGTTTATTGTTTAACGATATTAGCATCAGTTTTATATGAGTAAAAACATACTCTACTGGTGTAGCTAAATGGGTTTTTGAGCAATGAAGGTAGGCGGTTTCAAGGCACCCCACAAACCCGTTTTGGACGCCCCTTAGTTTGACTGATATGAGACCAGTTATCACGTCATGCGGATAGCGGCGTCATGCGGATAGCAGCGGCATGCAGCGATGGAAGCTGGCAAGCAAACTGGTTCAAATATAACCTTAAAAGCCTTGGCTTTATTCTTATAAGATCAGAAATGTGGCAAAACTCGGATAAATATCGGAGATGCTTTTGAAAAATGGAGAGAGGTTAGAACGAGAGGTTACCAGAATGATGCAGAGCTGGCTAAACACTGAAGCTTCAGTGTCCGTAACATGATAACCCACATGTGCATTGACTCTAGGGAGGAGGGGGGGCTGGGCGGTGAGAGATCCCTACAACGTGAACGTGGACTGCAATGCCAATTTTAAATGCTACATGAGAGTTACATATTGCTCCTTTAAAAAGATCAAAATCCAACAACAAAATCTGTAAAACATTCAAGCATGTCATGTGTTAATCTGGGACCACAGAACTCTCTTTGCTGTGGAGGTCAACACAGCTCCAGCTTTATTACAACCAGCCGGCCATATCCCACCTCTCAATGTCAACCTATACTGGGAGGAATCCATCATACTTCCTGCTGATGGATGAACTCAACGCCCTGCAGAGCTCCCGCTGTGCGAGCCTGCAGTCACGCCACTTCCACTCGTTCATATTCTGTGTGCTTGTGCAAGAGAAACTCTGAACCTCTTATCAAGCAACTAAAAAATCATGATCCTCCGATTTCTTTTTTTTTTTTTTTTTCTATGCTCCAGTGATGACGGTTGAGCTTTAAAGCTGCCGTGCAGACAAAGACCTCGATCTGTAGTTGCGGATTAGCAGCAAGTTAATGCCGTGCTCTGACTGTGTGTTCTGGCTGCTCGTGTCTCTCTGAACATGACACAGCACTCGAGGGGAGCGCTTCTCTCACCTCATAGGTGTGTTTCTGAGCTATAACCACCTGCGCTTCTGTCCCCTGAAATTACATGTGAAGGCAGATTCCAACATCTGTAACCAATGACCTGCCAGGAGTCATTTACATCAGCCGGAGTAAATAACCAGCCGAGTATTTTCACAACAACATTTTAGAATTAACAATTTCTGTATCTTGTTGTTAATTAAAATCTTGTAAAGTAACAGTATTTTTTTAAAACAGAGGGTTTTGAATGTTGCTTTAAACATCCAGCCTGGCAGGTGACTGTGACCGTTTATCCCCCACAAACAGATTTTACTGACATTTGGCTCTCAGCGGGCGTTGGTGTCTGACCCCGCCCGTCAGTTTTAGTGGTTTCAGGTTTCGTGTTTTTTTAGGTTTCGGATCATTTATGTCAAAGGAAGTTCCAATATGACATTTTTTTTTTTATTTATAGAACTGCTTTGTGTGCAAGTATACGTCTTAACATTTTACTGTAAGTGAATCTGCAACATGTGCATAAACAATCGACCATACGAGTAGTCATTATTATGCTGTGCCTGTCTTATATGACGTTGATGTGTTTTCAATGCTGCTCTTTCAAATTAAAAGAAAATAGTGGTTGTTGCGAGTGAAGATAAAGGTAATTAAAATAATTTGATATACTATTTGAGAGTTTAACCAGGTTAGCCAATCAGGCTCCTACAAATAGTCACAAGGTTAAGAAAATAACAAGATCAGGATTTGATTATCCCGCCACTCAGACTTGTATTCAGGTTTTGAAATGTTGTGTTATCTTTGTGATTTCCTTGTGAGGTATTTGAAATGAAAAACTTTCTGATTCGTTCTTTAGTTGAACTGCTCATAATTTATAAATCTAAAAGTAGCACCCATTACAATTGTAGTGTTTTTTGTGCTCAAATACCCGAGTTGAATATTACACTTCTGTAGTTGAGTTAAAATCGTTTGGCGCTGTCTGCCGCTGGTTCTCTGTCCGCCCTGATGGTGGTGTAGTTTGTAGGACACATCCTCCGCTGGCCCGACGTGCTCCCATGTTGAGCATTGTGTTAATCCGTCCAGGCTTAAGTTGAGCGACAGCTGCCCAGTCTGTGTGACCAGGACCTGATGAGGGATCCCAGTAGAGCCACGAAGGATGTTGGGTGCTTTAATTTGACAACCCTGGTCCCGAGGATAAATGACTTAAATACCAACTGGGACATATTTCATCATACCAGCATCAAATGTATAAAAGAGATGTGTTAATGCGTTAGAGACTTTAACTTTAACTTGGATACAATTCAGCGATTGGACAAAATTCAAACCAGCGAATACGATACATGGACGTAGCTGCAAAGAAAAGAAAATATGATCACAGTGAGGCCAATGACAATCATGCGTTTGCTTTTACCTGCGGATTTCGCCTGATTTCTGTTGGACAGGCGGGTGCCAAACAACGGGCGTTAGCTTGTGCTATCTTGTTGTAGCTTGCAGTGTAGGAACAAGCAGTAAACGAGCACACTACAACCAGCAGTGAGTGAGCGCTTCAGGGAGACGATGAGCCGCCGTTGAATGTTGTGATTACAAGCTGCAACGAACAATGCTACTGACGCCACCTTTAGGTATTACTAATTGTGATGAATGCTGTTAAATGCAGTCTATGGTTGTATTATTTTCCTGAATAAACCAAGATTCATTTGGAATAAAACCAAGGAAGGGGAAGAAAAAGTTTCTGAAACATAAAGTCTTTGGTGGACTCATATTCTGAGTATCCTCTGGTAAACAAGTAGAAATCCAAAAAAACTATGCTTCTATTGGTTCCAGTAGTGTTGATTGTTTTTATGAAGCGAGCGATATGCTCTGAGAAATTCCAGTACAAACAACATGTCTTGTTTAAGCTCCTTTATCCTCTTGTTTCCAAGTCTAAACTGTTAAGACATCAGCAAAGATGGCACACCTTGGATGGATTTGTGGGTCACGGACCAGAGAGCGAACGCTCGAGGATTTTGGGGGGCAGCTAATGTCTCCTCCTGCATCCTGTATCCTTCTCTTTGCCTCCTTGTATCCTCGTCCCGTCACTGTGTGTCTCGCTCGCCTCCTGTGAGATGGACAGCGATGGTTGTGTAGAGACAGCAGTGGGTGATCTCACAGCGTGACGCGCCCTCTCATGCGGGACAAAGAGCCGCTGTGCCGCTGTGCTGTCACGTCTCTCTCCAGCCGGCTCCACATGCTGATTACCCGATCAATAAGTAGATGTAGGCGCTCAGTCGACTGTGGAGCGACCACAGTAGATGGATATGCTAAAGAGCTGCACTGAGAAATCCTCTGTGTCTTCAGATGTTTACAGCGCACAACAATGTCTGTTTACGTCCCATCATTAAGAAGGGAACAGGCTTTTTTCTTTTACACAACATTCCTTTGCTTTTGGATTCCCATCCATGCTGGACCCCCGCCCCCCTTCCCTCATCCTATCTCTTTTCTTCTAGAATAATCCCCGGGCCAGCTGGCTCCATTTTGCTCCCACGGTTTGCTCCCAGTGGTTCAAAGCATGGCCCCTCGTTGTCAGAGTACGATGAGGCCAGAATTTTGTTTTAAAGTGAAGCTTGTTTTGGTTGGACAGGAAGAAAGATGAAGAGATGGCTTGAGGAGGAAGAGGGAGAGAGAGATTCTGGATGGGGTTGACGACTTATGTGGTCCAACTTTCTATTTTGTCGTTTACTAATCAGGAGGCTTTGGCCTTGTTGGGATGCTTGATAATGTTTTTTTTCTTTAATTACAGTTTGGTTTGGCAGGTTTTAGAGCATAATAGTTGTCTGTTGTAAGTTTTGGAAACGAGCTTATTCAGCAGTTTTGTTTGCAACTTAACCAACAATGCCAAGGCGAGTTTATTTAAAAAAGCACATTTTATCAACAAGGCCATCCAAAGTGCACGGCCAGACAACCTAACTGCTGAATGTTGATTTTCAATTGGTTGTGAATATTGATAACGTCAATGACTGTAATGGCACCACAAGATCACCAAATGATCGTGTGATGATTATAAAAAGAATAATGTTGAATTTAGAGCTCTTCAAGTATCCTCCAGTATGAATGAAGGACCCCTCCAAAACTCATTATCATGTTATAATAACTGAATCATTATTGTCCACCAGCCCCTCAAATAATCAACTGTGATCCAGTTAATAACAGTTTGATAATAACCAAATTATTGATGTTGATTTAAGATTTCCGACTATCAATTCTGGTATAAATATCTGTACCATTGTGGATATCAGCCCAAAAAGATCAACTAGTTTCAGGTGAATTATCGTGTAAAATTACTAAACATTCAACTGATCAAGCTTGCAGAGATTTCATGTTTTGCAAATCTATAAAATGTCATAACTGAGGTTTTTTTTTTTTTTTTAAATCAATAATCCTACGATCAAAGGGGTACTTGGAATCAGCCAATACTCAAGTAGAGGAATCAGAATCAGGAAGGCACAAAGGAATCGTAACATTTCTAGTGGAATCGTTTATTTTCAGTCCCGCTGAAGGTCCTCAAACTCTATGCCATGATCTCTTCTTTCAGACGACATCTTCCATTTACTGCTTAAAGCATCTCGTCTGAAATTGTCTGAAATCTCACTATAGGAGCAGTTTTATACATCTCCAGCTCAGGTCCATTACCGCGCTCGGCTGCCTCCTTCATGAGCCCTGACTGAGATAGTGTTGGCCGCAGATTGAAATCCTCCCTCACAGAGAATCTGTGCAGCCTGATCTGTAGCTCTCAAACGAGCTCTGGGATGAGTAAATCTGTAGAACGCGTCAGGAAATCAGCCAGGGGTCCACAGAGCGGGACGGCCTTTCTCTTGTAACCGTAGCAACCTGAAAAGGGCGATTTATACTTACCTGTGCGGGGAGGCGGAGTTATTTTATTTTCTAACCAATCGTCTTCACTCCATCTTTGCTATAATGGATGCTGCAGAGAATACGTATTGGCCTGACTGCACAAGTGAAAGACAGATTGTATAAATACATTCTCAGTGTTGAAGCACATCTACCCCTCATTTTAGTCCCCGATCATCAATAAACTACATTTTCCATTTTTTCAATCCCGATTTTGGATTCCAATTAAAATGAAAAACCAGATTATCAGGCTGAAACCATTATGGTGCCGCATTCCTTGTTGGCGATGATGCTCTCATTTCATCTTGTGAAATAAATCCAACCCCCCTTCTTTAACACAAGCGATTGGCATTTTCATTTGCAATTCTCTTGTAGTCTTTTAGCCCTTCTAAACAAGTAATGGATCAGACACTTCCTCGGCAGCTGCTTTGAGGTGGTCCACGATGTTGTTGGGTTTTTTTGCGCTGTGCAACTCAACAGAACTGCTTGTCTGTAGGACGGTGGTCTGAAGATCTCCAGTTCCCTTTGTCACACTCTATAGACCGTCTGTTTATGTTGGAAATAAAAGAAACCATCATCAGAATCAGACTTCTTACTGCGTCCCTTAAAGCAGTTTGTCAGAGGGTCCAGTGATGCCGTTGGTGGGTTTTAACACTGACGTTACTTAGCTGTGCCGTGCAGAGTTAACCTTGTTTCTGAATGCCGAGAGCGCGCCGTCAAAGCTTCTGTATTTTGACAACTTGGTAATAAGATCAGGGCTCTTAGTTCAGCTCGAGCCACGATGACGCATTCATGGTGTCAGATAACGTGAGCTCAAGTCGCTGACAAAAATGATTGTCAAAATGTTTTTTTGGTCATAATTGAGCAGCCGGAACAGAATCCTACATTTCCCGTAATCCCACTACTTGATTTGATTTGACTTCCTGGTCAATGCAGGCGGAGTCACATTTACTTGATAAAGAAAAGACGATACAGAAAACATGCACAGCGCAGAGGCAAAGTACAGAATCGCTTAAAAGGCACAGATTCCAACCTAAAATAACTCTTGCATCATCGCAATGACATGATTAGAGTGACTTTCTTAGACCAGACAAAGTTTCCTAAATCTGAGCAATCCAATCAGCAGTCAGAGATTCGTCTCGATGTTTAGTCTGTCTTTGTTTTAGTTTCATGTTTTTTTCTCTCTGTATCTTGTTGTGTCTTCCCCCCTCTCTCAGAGATGTGGTACTGGGTGTTCCTGTGGTGTCTCTTCTCCTCGCTCTTCGTCCACGGCGCGGTCGGGCTGCTCATGTTGGTCATGCTGCAGCGCCACAAGCGGGGCCGCCTCATCACCCTGGTGCTGGTCAGCGTCGGTTTCCTGGCCTCGCTCTCAGGAGGGGTCATCACCAGTAAGTCCACTTTCTTCACTTTTCTTATATTTAAATCCTTTTTTTAGACTGACCTCAACATCCAGTCAGCCAAGAAGAAGAAGAAGAAGAGGGAAGGTGACAAGGAGGGAGAGAGCGAGAGCGAGAGGGAGAGAGTTTTGCTGTCACACAGAGGAGGACAGAGAGAGACGAGGAGGATTTCAGACTCCAGTGTTTCTTCTCCATGCAGCACAGGAAGCTTCAACTTAGAAATATAGTTAGACATTTAATGATCAGTGTTTTGGGGTAGATTTGGTGCCTCATAGAGATGTGGTGATGATTTTAAAGTTAGACTTTTTAGCAGTTTTTACCGTAATTAGAGGGGGGGGGTGTCTATAAACTTTCAATTTCAATGAAGCAACTTTGGACTTTTTTTTAATTACAATATGCATCAAATCGTTTATATGAACTCATCCCATCAAACTAAAAGAATCCATATTTTATCCCGGTTCTGACTTTACCCTCCGTCTTCTGTTACTTTGTGTGTTTGTCTTTTACCCTTCGTCTGTTTTCTGTCTCTGGTCACAGTATTTATTTGTATTTATTTGTATTTATTTGTATTTATTTGTATTTATTTGTTTGTCTGAATACATTCACAGTTTGTTTATTCGAGCCCTTGCTTTGTCATCCGTTGTTGCCTTCCCCTCGCTGTGACAGAGTGAGACACAGTGTGTGTGTGTGTGTGTGTGTGTGTGTGTGTGTGTGTGTGTGTGTGTGTGTGTGGTGTGTGTGTGTGTTTGTGTGTGTGTGGTGTGTGTGTGTGTGTGTGTGTGTGTGTGTGTGTGTGTGTGGTGTGTGTTGTGTGTGTGTGTGTGTGTGTGTGTGTGTGTGTGTGTGTGTGTGTAAATAGACCCTTCATCAGACCCAGAGTAACGTAGGAGCTCTTCAGGCTCAGCGAGTGAATCACTTTTCATCACGGATTCAAGCCGGCCCCCAGAATAGCAGACGGTTTATAATTAACGTGCGGCAATCAGTGAGAGTGACCGTTTGTTGACTGTGAGCACACACACACGCCTCAGTGTCAGCGTGTACATCGGTCCGACTGAGAAAGAGGGAACAGAGCTCAGCTGAGCAGAGGAAAGAGGAGCTCTCAACGTTTAAGCAACTAGAAAAGCTTTTACTTCAGGGGAGCCCGGCAGTATGAAAGTAATGTCACACTCACAGCACTACTGCGACCATCTCACATTTAAACAAATCTGACACTCAGCATATTGCTCGTGCTTAGACTGAATAAAGGCAGCGCTGATATTCAGTATAACATCACTCCCTCTCGTGGGATAATGCCGTTTTAAAACTCGACTGGAGGCGGTGTTGTCAGATGGAAAATACAGCGATATCGTTCTGCAGCTTTAAAATGATCTTATTTCACTTAAAACTATCGTATATATATATATATTGTTTTTAACGAGACGCGTCCTAAATACAAGACTAAATGTCACAACTATGCCCTGACCCCACATTAAAGG